CTTACAAGCAATTTTATCGCATAGTAGAACATATCGGTCCTAATAACGGACTTTGTGTAGCGAAACATGTCAGATTGGTGCAAAGTGTATCGCCAGTAGTAATAACATCTGCCCAATGTCCAATGTAGTTCGGATTTGACTCGCGTTGCGTCGTAGCGCTTCAGGTTCAACTGTTGTGGTCATGTAAACTCATGTTTTTTTGGTAAGCATATGCAGGCTATGGGACTATGACCAGCCGCATGCACAGTAGCACTATATTGCACGTACATCTACGATGATTTTCCTACCTCTGCGCACATGCATATGATATGTCACACTTGATTTATCGTGTGTACTTCAGTAAGAAATATCAGAAATAAGAATAGAAAGTCGTTTTTCAAACACCCACGCTATAACCGATACCTACTGTACACATGTACTGTCGTGGATATCGAAATCCGATGCGATGATCGGACCGGTCGCCATTACTGCTTTCAGCGCGTGCAAGCACTTTAGTTCACGCACACACTGTAAACAATAGACTAGTGGTTCCGGCGGCTGCAAGGCCAGCGCCCCGTGGCCGCTTGACTTCTCAGCGGATTGCAATGTCCGCTACCGTAGATATGGCTAGAACTGAGCAGCTCACTAGCGATAGCATGCATGGGGCATTAAGCTTTTAGGTGTAGGCTGCAGAAGTTTGAGACTCTTGCTCTCTTGCTGACTCTATTTTGTACTGCTGTTGTCTCATTAGCTACGGCCGGTGAGCCGGCGAAGATCCTGTCAAATGAGAAGGAAGAGCAATACCATATAAGCTGCGATGATACGTTCATGGTCAGGGTCAAAACACATCCTCCAACCACAAAGCAGACGACGACCACTACTACCACTACTACTACTGTGGTTCCAAGCACAAGTACATCAGAAAGTACCAGGCGGCCAAACTCGCCTGCGGTAATTACTACCACCACTATCTTGTGGCCGGTGTTTGCAGCGGCGGGAATGTGTGTGCTTTCATGTTGCATTATCGCTGCGATACTGTGCAACACCAAGAGAGGAGCAATGACCGCGAAGGGGATACCGGCCAAGAAAAGTGAGAACAAATTGTAACTTAGAATTGACACACTGTCTGTTTATAAGGTTTGTAGGAGTTGCAAACGGGGAAAAGTATTGACTGTCATCACCAGGACTCCAACCAGGAACACTTGCGTATACCCCGCAATGCTCTACCACTAAGCTACGGTGTTGCCGTCATCCCAGCAGCGACTGTTAACATTTTCTTTCATTTCTGAATATTTCTATTTTCTCAACCCAACGCACCATACTCTGTGGTGTACATTTTGCACGTCCATGCTGTTGTGAAATCGTCGCATGTGCACGAATCATGATATAATTATAGTACAATTCCGGGTCTGCCCCTGAGGTGCATGTTACAGATATCAAATCCATACAATAATATGGCAGCAAATTGTTGTCTGTCTGCATGAGTTCGTGTCCGTGGGTATATTCACATGTGAGTTTACTTGTACAGTGGTCCCTCTATAATCCGGCACCATTTGTGCCACGAAAATCTGCTGGATTAGGGAGGGTGCTGGATTAACAAATCTGATTTACTGCTGCAATGTGCGTGAAGAGGACATTTTGGCTACTGAAAATTGTGCTGGTTTATCGAGGGTGCTGGATTATAAAGTGCCGGATTAGAGAGGGACGACTGTATTATCCTTGCTCCTATCTTTCTGACTTTCAGCGAGGTACGATTAGGAGAAAAAATCCGTTGCAATGCTGCAATCAGCCGGTATTTCAGTCATTCAGTCACCCTACCAAGAAGCAGAGTTACATTGGATGAAACTCGGTGACGATGATATCGATTTACTCTCTTTCTGGTGCACCACGTTAGCCTAACGGAAGGTAAGCTGACATTCGAAAGAAGTGAAATTCTTTCGTAAATATGGTATAGTCCTTTCCAGATATAGTCATTTGCAACTTCCATTTTTTTATTGACCTGGGGTGAGGGTTGTTTGAACTAAGAAGAGCATGATTATCATAATCACTTTGAAACTTCACTATTATAGTTTTTTATCTAATAACTTTTTTTATTAGTAATACTCATTTTCAATGGCTGTCGCAGTTTGCGAAAAGAGATCAAACCGCAAACTGCGAAAATTGGACGTTGGGCTGCGAACGTACTCATCCAGCAGTAAGGACAAAGCTTGTACTTCTGGAAGAAAATTCTACACGACTCGGCCAAGGCCATTCCTCCAGCAGAGTTGTTAGTCAACCCAGACCTTGTCCACCAATGAAACCCTTAGCCCAACTAGCATTTTAAAAATGCTGTATGAGTAGAACTGGACTGTTCTGTTTTCCTAGCTGTTACATTAGCCATCAACATACCATACTCGCGTGATTAGAGCCCTCTTGAATAGTACCCCTGCCTCTGAGAGGCAATGGAAAATAAAGCCCCCTCTTGAATAGCCCCCCCCCCTCACCCCTACTTCCTTTTCTTGTAGCCATGTTAGTGTGACACATCAGGTTCGACAATACTCATTTGAGTTTAGGGTTTATATAGTTCTTGATGTGGTCAGTTTATGACTCTAGATACTGTAGTTGGGTTGAAAGTGGAGCATTGAAAAATAGAAGGAAAATCTCCAATAAGTGCAGAGTCCCTAATAGTAACGCAGATAGAGCTGTGAAAGCATCCTTAAACTCGGTGTTGTTTGGCCATGTCTGCATCTATTATTATTATTATTACTTCTTGTACTTATAAAATTGCTTTCTCCACGCCGGCTCTTCAGATAGAGCTGTCCTTGAAATAATCAGAACCAGGCTCTTATTTGAAACTTGGATGTTGAGCCAATAATAAATGTAGAAAGGAAAACGAAAAGGAAATATAGATACGAGTTGAGAGTGATGGAGAGTTACTCTCAACTCGTATCTATATTTCCTTTTCCGTTCTACAGGCTCTTATTACTTGAATTAACACAAAAGGGAAAACGAACAAGAACACAACTGCAGGCAGAAGCACTTATGACTAACACGATGCACAAGCTTATCGAAGTTACTCAAGCGGGAAATAGGAAAGAACCGGGAATATTCATTACAAGTACTTGTACCGATATTGAGGTTAGGAGTCGAGTCGGTAGAGCGTCGGGAGTGGGCTATTGTGAGCCAAAGTCGGGCGCCAATGTTGACAATCCTTATTATTTCCCCGGACCAACACAAGGCACCAAGTAATTATTGTAGGAGGGAATGTTGTCTTACTACTGGTATTGATAAGGTTGGACAAGAATGCAAGACTAGACGAGACAAGATTAAAACTGACGATAACTAGATTAAAGCTTTAGGCTCCTCAACTAAACATTAGACTACAGATTACACTCTGAGAAATCTCGTTATACAAAAGGAATATTACTACAATAAATGTGAACGGTGCAAAGCATAAGCGCGCCCAATACGGGTGCGTTCTTAAATCCTCTCGGAAAAGTTGGAGACTCTCCGAAAAGTTCGAGAGCTGTTCTTATATTCTCTCCGACTTCTAGGAGGGTCTCCGAAGCCCTCCAAGCTCTCCAAGCTTCAGAGGTGGTTGAAACTTGGAGATTCCCGCGGTTTGGGATCAGCGCATGCGAACTACGGCTAAAAGCCACGTGTTGATCATGAGTGTACGCATTTCCCTTTTTGCATACGCACATGTGCATACTACATTCATAACTCAAGATCGCGGCCACTTTGGCGCTTCACATTGCTTGACATGCGCAAAATATCTCCGAATTCTTCGAGACCCGTTCTTGGGTTATCCCAGTTTCTTCGACTTCTCTTTTCTTCTTCTTCTAGAAGCTAGAGAATATGAACGCACCCTTAGTTGGCGCGCATATGACCGGCTATGTACACCAAAAAGGGATGTAATTAGATCAAATGTACGGTGGTTTATGTGCAGGGTCAGAAGGAGGGAAAACGGGCTACAAATGTGTATGGTACTAATTATTGCATGCACGGGCAGCGGGGAAATGGGACAAATATGGAGGTTATGAAGTGTGTACGGTACTACATGGGGGTGAGTACAGGTTTATAGGGGACATGTACAACATCTAGAAGTGGCTATGGAAGCACATAGTAAGGGATTACAATGTTACCAAGTGCCCTCTACCGGCATGCGTACTGCCCAGTGCCATCTTGCAGCATTTTCCAGAGTTCTGCGTACTCGCCAGACTGTCACTCACAGAAGAAGTGAACAATTGAAGAGATAAATTGCCTGCAACGACCTTGGAATTCTTCTCGTGCAACTGCGACTTGGAGTGCATGGTCAACGACCTTGGAGTTCTTCTCGTGCAACTGCGACTTGGCATGCCTGGTTATGCCATAATTGATCTGCTATGGCTTCCTGCCTCAAAATGTCTGAGACTGCACTGCTCAAATTTCGTGTAGGAAGAAGAATCTCAAAAGGAAATGCAATATTCTCTAAAATAGAACCCAGTGTAGTACAACACTCTAGCATGAAAATCATCGGTGCATTTGTTGGCGGTTTTATCGACTCACTTCATGAATTGACCAATTTGAAATGAAAAATCCAGTTTGCTTCCTTTACGAGTTTGCACCAAGTCACCAAACCTCCTCTTCCGTCTGCAGCGACCCATTATCATCGGACGTAGCCAAATTTCCAATGTTACTCCTAACTGGTTCCTTTACCACTGGTTGGACTTGATCCGTCCGCTATGACAGCCCGGTTCAGAGACTCTTTCTTGGTATACTGGCCAAAGGTCAGAATCAGGACACTGGTCATGTCCAATGATGCTATTTTATCTACCCACTACATGTTGTGGACACTCTGAGATTCTCTTACATGTCAGGATCGAGCGACCACACGGCACGAGGACAACTATTAACTCTTGACAGTATATTTCACTTGATCGACTAATTAACTAACACTAAAACCACCAGGTAGTTATAGCGTGAAAATGACAGCGTATATAAGAAAACCATACACGTACAACATACAACTACAGCGCACACAGCAAATCGCACATGGCGCATGTAGCGTGCACCACGTCGTCATCATCATTGGTACGGCGGAGTCGAGATACAACTGCATTGAAACAAACACAATGTCACAAGCGAGAAGGCCTTTCACTCTTGAGAACTTGTGGTTTCATAACCAAAATAGGGCATTCTCCCCACCAAAGGGCTTCTCACCGTCGTACCACAACTAGGGGTGATTAGGGGCTCTGATGCCGCCTCATCTGCTGCTACGGTGGTGGCCATGGTGGAAGATCAGTGAACACCACTTCAGCCAATTCTTGAAGCTTATCGATGTGGACTTTGATACACGACACGGTCACTGGTCCACTGCTTCGACCCAGGGCCGGCTATGAACCAGATAACACACATCCGATCTCTGTGTTCCACACAGTCTCCCCGCTCACTTCTTCCTTGCTGAGCAGTATCGCCTTTCTCCTGTCCTTCGCTTCTCTTTCTTCTCTTTCTTGTGCTTCTACTTCTTGCGCTTCTACTTCTTGCGCTTCTACGTCTTGCACTTCTACTTCTTGCGCTTCTACTTCCGAGCGAGGCAAGCAAATCTCGCTTTGCTTCCTCATAGGAACTGCAGCCAATACAGTTCCCGTTCACCGTGCTACCCAATAGAGCGATACGCAATCGCAGCAACCATTCGTTTTCGTCGAACTTGTTCTTGACACAGATGTCCTCGAACAGGTCGAGATAACGCTCCAGTGGCTGCCTTCCGTCGTATGTCGGGACTTTCAATAAGGGCCTACGCCCACCGCTGTGACAGGGAGCCTCCGCTGTACCTCCCATCGACCTCACACGCGCGGCGTCACCATCACCTTCATGCACCCTGGCGATGCGCTCGTTCATCTTCTTCAGCTTTTCGTTAGACTCTGTGCGGAGCGCACCCTCTTGCCGTCTGGCACGGCGCTCTTCACACTCCTTGCACTGTCGGAGCCTCTTCTCCACGAAATCCACCAACCTATCGCCTTCAAATCCATACCGAATTCCGTTGGCGATAAAGCTGGCTTCCAAATTATGTAGTTCCTCTAGTTCCTCTGCCATGCTCGCGTCGATCCTGGCGTTGTCGCCAAATGTTGTGAACCCTCTGAGATTCTCTTACATGTCAGGATTGAGCGACCACACGGCACGAGGACAACTATTAACTCTTGACAGTATTATTTCACTTGATCGACTAACGAGAGAGCTTGGAAGCTCAGGGCCCTACACTATGCTTTGTTGCCTAGCTCATCGTGCATGTTGTTAGAACTGATGGAAATGTTTTTTTTCCTTTGATTAGCAACATCATTGTATTGCAAAAACGTTTCGATGAGTTACTGAAGTAACGTCTTCTGCAAAGCTACGGGACCGGCACTGACTCTGCCGATCATGGGTGTTCTGGAGTCGACGGGATGTCTGTCCTGACGTTTCCTGGGACCGGCGCTCACTCTGCCGATCACGTGCGTTCTGGAGTCGATGGGATGTCTGTCCTGACGTTTCCTGGGACCGGCGCTGACTCTGCCGATCACGGGCGTTCTGGAGTCGACGGGATCTCTCTTCCGATGTTTCCTGTGACCGGCGCTGACTTGCCCGTTCACGCTTATTTTGGAGACGACGGGATGTCTCTTCCAAAGTATGTTTTTGCTGACGCATCCTATCACCTATTCGGCAACTAACGTCCATTCTAATTGCATTTCCTCCTCGTCTCCCTATTTCTTTCCAGAAAATCTCCCTATACTTCAGGGAGTCGTATACATATTACGACGAATATTGTGGCCAGTTGTTTGTGGCCAGCTGTGTTTGATGGTACGGTACGGTACGGGACAGATACGAGATAGCGCCAGCAAATATTGTTCCCAGCTTTTTGTGACCAGCGTGTTTGATGGTACGGTACAGGACAGATACGGGATAGCGCCAGGCGCGACACAAACAAATAAATAAATAAACACCAAATTAAAGCTGTGTGGACCTTGGCTAGCGCCATATGTTACTGAAGTAACGTCTTCTGCATAGCTACGGGAATGAACTAACACTAAAACCACCAGGTAGTAGCGTGAAAATGACAGTGTATAATAAGAAAACCATAACATACAACATACAACTACAGCGCACACAGCAAATCACACATAGCGCATGTAGCGTATACCACGTCGTAATCATCATTGGTACGGCGTAGTCCAGATACAACTGCATTGAAACGAACACAATGTCACAAGCACGAAGGCCTTTCACTCTTGAGAACTTGTGGTTTCATAACACTACATGACACATGTCTTATAGTACATGGACATCATGTGAGTATGAAGTCCACACATTATTGTTAATATTCTGAAAGTTCTTCAGGATTGTGTACTGTTTTATCTACTGTGTGAGAACCTTTGCCCTGCATTTTGTGCTTATGCAGTTGCTGGCAACATCTGAAGTCAAGGTTCCAAAGATGGATCTCAAGGACAAAAACAGGACCACGTGGGCTATATTTGAACATCCATTTTGAGCTGTGCAAAATGCCTATTGCCGGCACCATGCAGTCCTTTGGTGCTTCAGTCATCTGCAGCTTTCATCGGAGACATGAGCCATGTTTGATTCGTACCTGCTAGACAAGGGTAAGCAGCAAAACATTGCTGCTTTGATTCACATGTTATGTCTTTCTGTTGCATGAACACCGCTGTTGCGCAGTCTTTCTTTTTCTGATTTGGGTTGTTCAATGGATTCCATTGAAAGAAGCCTGACCCTTTCAGACAAATTTATCTTTTCGAATCACGGCGTTGCAGAGCTAATACACTACTAATACTATCTTTTTTACTAATTTTTTTCTATGTATTAGATCTATTTCTAATAGTAGATTTCCTCCTCTGTGCACTACCTGCAAATCGCAATATCCCAGATTCATATCAATACAAATAGCACTTTCGTGACATGCTGTGAATAATCTTTCTTCTTCATTGGAAAGTCATTATTCATTGATGGGCAGCATATCTTGGTTCTAAGCTGGACGAGATATTTTTTACAAACCGTAACTCTTTGCTAAATGCGGATTTCTTCTGCCATTCTTTTCAGAGAATAATAAAGCTGGATTTCGTTATCCAGACCGAACGGTTACATGTACTCGAAGTAAATACAGTACATGTGTGTATACTTGTACATATACACGGACACCGTGCGCCGTGCATTTCACTGCACCAACTACATGTACATGATTGTACATGTACATGACTGTACAGGCAACTTCGCTTATAACGACACTCGGCGGGGCATTAAAAAAGTGTCCTTATTCGCGAAGTGTCGTTATACCCGAAGTGTCATTATGTATTAATACAGTTGGAAGGGACTTTGCTCTGGGCATGGAAATTCTGTCGTTATTCGCGAATTGTCGTTATATCCGCAGTCGTTATTAGCGAAGTTGACTGTATGTACAGTTCTGGCCAGAGAAATCCGACGTAGTAAATAGAGCTCAGGTGTGCAAAGTGTTATTTGCGGTACTACTACTAGCACTAGGGCCGCGTAGCCTCTGGACTATTATTAATTATTCATCATGAGGTCGGATTTATTTGGCGGGGAATGTATAGTGCCAATGATTTCCAGTACTTCGAAAAAGTCGTCGTAACGTAACCGTTACTTGGAATGACTCTGGCCAAAGGCCCATCTGCACCGCGCGCATCGTATTATCTAAATGACAGTCATACAACGACGGTTACGTATAATACATGATTGGGCACCTACTGTACATGTACATGATTGTACTTCGCATTCGGTCTGCAAAACGCAATACTCTTTGTATGTGTGTTGCGCTCACGTAGCAGCATGATTGTACATGTACATGTAGGTACCCTAGTCCCTAATATGGTAAGTGGAAGTAATAACTCTACATGCATTATACATGTACAGTACATGCCCGATGACGTCATTTTGAGGCATTTTTTTGCAGTTCCTTCACGCGAATAGTTTTTATGGTTTCGCCTGTCAACACAAAGCATACATGTACATGTACATGATTATTGTTAGATTGACAGCATGAAACAAGGTGGAGGACACTGTGTTGGGAAACAGTGACCTTTAACACTACAACCTTCCGAGCTAGTATTAGGTTATCATGTACATGTACATGTACATGTACATGATTGTGTACAATGCTTTGTGTTTACCCCGTCCTCAATACTAGATTCGTATGATGTCATTCCCATGGCCCTTATTATGTACGATGTACATGTCGATCTATCATTCCCTCTCTATTTACCTCGCACCAGTTGTGTATGGAGTGACCCAACCTGCCTTGTAATCTCCGAGCCAATCACGGAGTGTTGATCAGGTCTACATTACATTAAATTGAATTAAATCACTTCACTTGTACCATTACATGCATGCTGGGTCTGAGAGAGTTTATGTGTGTGGGAGTCATTCAGAATGCCTGCAGTCCTGCATACGCTCCTGCTATATTTGGCTGCTTAGAAGATTGAGTCATGATTGTGAAAGAATGCGATGGGTTGTTATATTGCCCCGGGCTATACGAGAGCATTGGTCCAGTGATCCGGCTTGACTGGAATGAATGGCTCTCGTCGCTGTGCAAGGACTCAGCCATGCAAATTGCCTGGGAACATGATAGACTTCACATGCACAGTATATACGACATTTGGCGATGATTTGCGTAACGTTGGCCCTGGAAGATGTGCTGTACGTTACGAGTGATTCGCACTTACTAACCAGTCAATATTAGTGATCAGTCTTCCTCGTGCCCTTTGCTATCGTTGGGCAGTTGGTGAAATGCAACAGTCCGTGTTGATATGGTCAATGTGAAAAAAATACTTCGAGTAGTACAATGTCATGTTGATGTGCAGGGCCTAGGGTTGGTGATGGTACATACATGTACTTCATGTACTATGGGCATGTTCAAGGACAATTACAGTAATAACTCATACTCTGACCTGTGTAGGGCGACATTCAATTAGGCACGTCATGCACTGCTGACTTGCATGCCTTTTAATTACACTCCCGAGTGTCAGCATGCAGTAGTAGTGCCAGTAGTGCCATCATGCACTGCAGAAAAGGATTGATTGCCAACTACTACTAGCAATCTCTTCATGGCACGGGGATAACTTAAACAGGATGTGATGATGATGCTTTTGATGATGAGGCTGCTATCTTTTGCCCAACAGCAAGAGTCTAGTGGAATGTGCAAGCACGATGCACATGTACGTGTATTATGTACATATGCATGTAGATTGGAGTAAGGAGAGCTTCACATGGTCAGTGTACATACTGTTAGTGCAGATACGCATCATGGATGTGATCTGCTCGGCTTCTGCTGAGCATTCTGCCGACACTTCCAGCAATACAACGTATGGTGGATTGTTCTCAAATCAGTTGAACTAAACTGGGATACAGGTGGTTTGTGATGGAGCCAAAGCTGAAGCAGACTACTTCAGACGGTTCCTGAGAATACTCGGGCACTTGCCATGCGCCTCTCAACGCACAAGTAGTCTCTCGCAGCCCAACCGTCCAGTGACCGGAGGAGAAGCATATCCTGTTTGGTCCTTCACTCTCTTGGACGGTTTTGCAGTTTGATTCATGACACGTCGCTGATGAGGAGAAGGTATGGAACCTGCAGAGTTAGAACATGTGTTATGACCGCACACTTACCATTTTGCAGGATCGTTTAAGGTCAGCTAATTTAGAGCATCCTCAACAGCTAAATTTATGAAATACATGTGCATGTACATGTGCATGTATGTCCCATGTCTTGCTGAAGATGCACTTCGAAAGTCCAGCCGGTGCCAACTACATGTACATTGTATACTCGTAGAGTTGTCCTGACTTGCACAGTGCAAACGAAATTGCGCCGTCCGGTCCGTCTCACTTCGTGTTCGCGAAACTACCCCCCCCCAACCATCTGAGCTTGTCAGTGCCTTCTTCTAGGTTCAGCCTGGTCCCATAGCTCAGATGGTTAGAGCATTGCTCATGACAAAATAAGGTCCTGGGTTCGAGTCCTGGTAGAGTTGGCTTTTTTTGTCTTTTCAGGCACACTTTCCCGACTGATACTTCTATTAGACTCCCTTGATAGAGAAGACGATAGACCCCCTAATCGGTTGACAATCTATGCATGATTATCCTACATTAGCTAGTAGGCATTGTTCTAGATGGGAATAATGCTGCAGTAATGTAATTGAAAAATTTTCCATAGGACCACTCAGAGGTGACAGCGAGCAACTGAAGGTTGCAAACATTTACTGATTCATTCTACACGGGAAACTCAGTTATTCTGTTGTCACGGTAGGGTTCCTGTCACCTGCCCAGCGGGGGAGGCTTTCATTCAAGTTCCTCATGCCACAACATGCGTGTAGCATGCCCATCGCATTGTCCTGGAACAACATCACAACACCAGTGGCAGGATTGTACTGCTTGTGCGTGTATTGTGTTTCCGCTATCAAAGCGCATCTTGTGTCAAAATGGGGCACTTTGGCATCTGCGTGTACATGTAGATCTACACGATTGTGTTCAATTTCTCAAGGAGCATAATTTTATGATGCCGTTAATTGCTCGACATGATTGAATCCTGATAGGGTTTGATAGCAGATCAGATAGTAACATTATGACTCGCATCGCACGTCTTCTACTTGTGCTAAGTAATTAGTTGTAGGCATACCACTACATGGCACTGCAGTAACGATGGGTGTTTTGTGTTTGTTTGTTTGGCTTTATTTAAAGTGGAGTTCCAAAACAGGCCTAAACCTAATGACAATGGTCCCACTGATAATAAGAGAAAAGAAAAATATATAATAATAAGCGGACAAACAGAACCAAGAAGAGGATACAGCTGTAGTTAGATAATGTCTGTAGCATTGCGCCTGGTTCTCGTATCTGACTTGTGGATCACATCGGAATTCCTTGTTTGCACACAGTGCTCAATTCAGCTACACGTTCTGTCAAGAGTCCTTCCCGGACTCTTGGCATTGGTATTAAAGGCAGTAATAGTCATGCTCAACTTGGCCTTAGTCTCCTAAGTTGTGTGCAGCTTCGATACGACTTGTACTACCGCTCGCGCAAAACTATACCATCCTCTGCTATTCAGGGAGTCGTACAATTATTGTTATACCATACTTGTTGTTGGTTGACAGCATGTTACAAGGTGGAGGACACCGTGTTCGGAAAAAGTGACCTTTCTACAACCATTCACGGTTGGTAGAGCCCCGGGTGGTTGCGACCATCTGAACCGTGGATGGTTGTAGAAAGGTCACTGTTTCCGGACAAGGTGTCCTCCACCTTGTTACATGCTGTCAACCAACAACATGTTTGAACAAACAAGGTTTATCTAATACAATACCATACGTGTACATGTACTACTCCGTGATCCGCTGCAACTTCCCGACGTCGTTCTCGAAGACAGCTACAAGTATGCAGGAGACGTCGACTGAGATGAGTCCTGTACGAACGATAAGATAATGCATCATCATAAAACGATGGTACAATACAAGCGATTCTGGTTGCTACCAGGGTGCATTGACTTGAACATTTTCGTCCAAGGAGTGGCTGCTTTACTT